AATACAGAAATATATTCCTCCCTTGTTGTACCGCCATAAATCTTTCTTGCGACTCACTTTCACTCCCTAGACAATTCGTATCCACTCCACTCTCCCTACGCACAGATACCTGGAGCAAAGGATGGGGCTGGCTTCCCAGGTCTTCCTCCCATTCAATTCTGCTCTTCCCTTTCTTTTCTCTCCTACGCCACATACTTCTGCACACATTCGCTCTAATTGAGCATGCAGCTATGCTCCCACGTCCTCTCACCCCTCCCTTTCATTTAAATTCCTTCTCTCTCCCTCATGCATGTGAAGCAGATGCTGCCGCCATTGTACTTCAAATCCGCAGCTTTTTTCCGCAGCTTCTCGTCTCCCTCGGTCTGCAGGTCTTTTTCTGCGTCCTTCTCCCTTCTTCCCATCTTCCTCCTCCCCCTTCCGGTCCTCTCTCACCAGTGCCCTGTGAGCATTAGCTGGCTGTCTTCCTCAGATGCTTATTCACGTCCCTCTCGTCATTCATTCCCCTCTGCCCCTTCCACTCCTCTCTCTCTCGCTCTTTCATCCGCACGTATCCTGTGACGGAAGGTGGCGCAAGCTACTCCTAGTCGGCCTGCCACGCCCCTCGCTCTACTCTCGCTCCGCTCCCCTTTTCTCATTCCTTACCTCTCTCGCCATCTCCCCCTCTCATTGCTCTCACATTCCCCTCCTCCTCGTCCGCCGCTCTCCTCTCCGCTCGTCATTGGCGCTCTCTCTCCTCCCACCTCACGTACCTGTGGAGCGAGAGTACGCACTCCTCTTGTATCGCCTGCAACTGTTTCCATCCTCCTCCTCTCCCCTTCCTCCTCCCCCCTCCCTCTTCTCCCCCCGCTCCCTCCTCCTCTCTCTCTCATCTCTCCCACCGCACGTACCTTTGAGCGAGGTGAAAGCGCAAAACTCCTCCTTGTACGCCTTCAACTGAGTTTCCATCCTTTCCTCCTCCCCGCCTGCCTCTTCCTGCTCTCCCTCTCCCTCCCTCGCCCCCCGCTCTCTCGCTCTGCTCTCTCATCCACCCACGTAGCCTGTTGAGCGAGGGTGGTGCACTCCCTCCTGTTTGTACGCCTGCAGCTGTATTCTTCCACTCGTCGACGCTTTGGACTTCTCTTCGTGCATCGGCCGCCGGTCAGCCTGCGCGTGTTTGTTATCTTTACCGTCTGCTAGCTCACCTCCTACTTCTATCTTACGCGTTCGCGAGCTGCGTCGCGAAAAGCATCGCGGGGAATAAAACACAGACGAGCAGTGGCAGCGTGGGTGCGGGCCCCGCCCACCTGGCTTTTTTAAAACGTCCCCCCCATCGCACCACGGAGCTACTACATGGCGTGAAACGTACGGGCTGCACATAGCATCCGTGGGAACCGCTGAGAGAGAGGGACAGTTGCTCGCGTCGAATACGTGCGCGCCCTCTCATGGGAAGAGCAGAAAAGTGAATGTCGCGTTCGCTGTTGCGCCCCCTAGTGCACGGTGAGTGGCTCCTGGCGATGACGACGCCCCGTGAGCCGTGCGCCGCTCTGGGTAAGTCGGCTCGGACCGAACGCAGAGGGAGCGACGGTGGAGTAGAGAATTAGATAGTACGCTAATACGATCGCCTGATGGGACAGAAAACCGGAAGAGATTTCGAGAGAACATGCAAGTGGATGCGTAGGCTGACGGTAACGTGGACTTAAACGGCAGAAGCTCCTGCAGCCAGTAGGATTCGATGCCGGGTGTTCCAGAAC